AAGTGTATGATTAGTTTGGTTTGGATTTGTTTATATCTATTTAACTAAGGTTTACATACTTATATTTTCTAATACAAAGGGGCTGTTACTTTACCAATAATTGTACATTTTGTTACAATCTTAACAACTATGTATAAGTGCATTTTTTTAATTTGTTTCTCTGTTAATTTTTTAAAGAGAGTTTCAAGACAGTGGTAGGTAATTCATATATTATTTTTTATAAAACAATTTTATAGTAATTTTTATAAAACACATTTTTCTTTTGACTATAGCATCTAGTTACAATTTTGAGGTACTGTGAGAAATACATGGCAGATGCCACAAGAGGAAACATCATGGTAGAGTGGAAGCACTGGAATTAAAAGTAAAGAAACACTGTTCTGTGTCATTTGGCATCTATCAATATGACCCCAACAGAGTCACTTAATTGTGATATTGGCTAATTACATAAGGGTGTTGTGATGATTACATGTGTAAGACCCTTTGTCTAATTCTTAGTTTCTTCATATGTAAAAGAAAGAGATTGGTTTTGGTTGGACAATAATAATCTTTCAGGTCTAAAATTTTGCTTAATATAAAATGACATTTTGAAATATGTCAAGCTTCATATATCGTGAATTTATAAAGTCAAATAGGCAGGAAATTGTAACCAAAGACATGCATTTGTAGACTCTTGCACAGTATGCTGGCAGATCATTGGCTCAAAACCTGCCACTTTCTCTTAATTACCTCTGAGATTTAGCTCCAGAGTTTTAGCATCTGCTTATAATATTCTTATTTCATATTTCCATGCTGTAATGGAGATTGACCAGCTGTATCTATGAGGACTTATCTTTGCCATTTATTCAAATATATCCATTCTAATAACAATAAGTTCATTATGTTTCTCAATAAATCACTGTAGCCATAATATTCAATCATCTTTCAAGTTTTATATTTAAAGTTCTCCATGAACTTCAAAAACGTTGCATGAAATAACTTTTTTTAAAAAAGATTTATTTGTGCATACAGAACTGGGGTACAGGCCAGAGGCTCAGGGGCAGCAAGAGGCTTCACCAGAGACAGAGTGGGGAGCAGAACAGGCATATCGACAAAGTACACTGTTAAGGGGAGCAGCGGTTGGGCCAGGAGAGGTCTGCCACACCATGTGGTCACCTCCGGGGCAGGCGGGAATCGAACTCATGGGGAGGTGGCTTTAGCTTCTTAGTGCAGTGCTTTAACCCACTGCGCCACCAGGGGGGGCCACATGAAATACTTTTTAAGGGTTTTAAAAACTTTTTTTTATTCCAGGTGCTACTGTAACTATTGAAATTGGCATATATAGATGTCACATTTTATTTAGTTCTGAAAAGTGGAAAGAGATGAGTGGTAAGCGCAACTTCAGTGACAAAAGTTTACATGGTAGTAAGGCAGAAGCTTGAACCATAGCTGTTTAAGTTACTTAAAGGTTGTGATCTAGTTCTGGGTTTTATAGACTCGACTCCTAGTACTTGTGATGTTCTTGAGATCAAGATTTGTATTCTTTAAAACTTGACCATATGTTAAACAGAACAAAAAATTATTTCAAGATAATTTTAAATACCAAAAAATGTAAAATGATTTAGAGATACAAAGTGAATGTTTCCCTTTCATCCCCAGTATTACTTACCCAGAGATAAGAGCTGTGAACAGATTGGTTTATTGCCCACAAAAACTTCTAGAAATGTCCTGAGCATATGTGAAATAAGGCTGCATGTGTATTTGGGATTTTTTTTTTTTAATCCCTGCTCTCCCATTCTTTTTCAGTAATTTAATCTTTTCATTTTATACATCTTGCACAGGTTTCTATATGAATTCTGTTGAGTCAGCCTCTTAAAAGTCAAACTGACTTCTCTCAGTCAGCCCACAGTAGACTTCTTGTCATCTTGGTAAGGGAAAGTAGAGGTCAGTTAAGGACCCCCCCCCCCCGAACTTCAAGAGGTCTGCTGACATTACTTAAAGAATGCATACTGATTTGAATGATTTGAGATGAAAGTTGTGAGGACCCTGAAAGCTAGTTAGAAGCTTCTCTTCTTAAGTCCTTTGCCACTCCCTTATCAAACAAATGAGCAGCATACTCTAAACTTTTGCCTTTAGTCCAAGAATTAATTGCTTTCCAGTTTATGGCCTGAAGAATGTAGGGTCTCACTCAATCTAGGTTTATCAGTGACCATATTCTAAAACGTTCATCTTTACACTCACTAAGGATGAGGTTAGCCCTTCTTAGCTGCCATATGAAATCTCCCCATCTCTGTCCTTAATGCCTCATGTTCTGAAATGCAGAATAAGTACTGTGGTCCTCTCCATTACTTACTAGAATTTATAACCATGTGAATTCTACATATGTATGTTACTGAATTATTTTTCCTTTTCTTACCCGTGGTGCTATCTATTTTAGTTACTTATTCAGCCTGACAAGAACACAGGAAAGAAGGGTACAAGATGATTTCTTTTGTGCCTGAAAAGATAAACACACATATCTACCTCTTTCTTTTTCATGACTCTTTAATGTCCCATTTAATAACTGTTCTATAACTCATTTATACAGTTCTAGGGTTTTTTACTTTTAATACACTCTTTCATACGGTGAATTCTATCAGTTGAATTATTTGCACAAAGTTTTTGTTTAAGTGACTTTATATTTTTTATTTTGGGCTAAGCTAGACATTTTCTCATTTTTATTGCTCAGATTTTGTTTCTGTTATTACGGAACTGTTTGTGTACTCTACCTTTTCCTATTGGTTCCTCATTTTTCATCTATTGGCTTACTTAAATTGCTAGAATTCTCTGTTATGAAGTTAGCTATGTGTCTATACTGATAAATACTTTCCCCAATTTATTCTGATTTTTGTATTGCTTTACTTTAGTTCCTATTTGCTCGTTGTGTTTAATTTTTATATAGCTATCGTTAGTGTTTAATTTTTACATAGCTATCAATTTCTTTGTGTTAACTTTTATGGGCTTTGTGTTTTATAGTTAAGCTTTACCCATTTGATTATTAAAAATATTCTTTCTAATACTTCTGTAATCTCATTTTATATATTAAAGCAGTGATTTGTAATGAAGTAAACTGTAATCTCATTTTATATATTAAAGCAGTGATTTGTAATGAATTAATTTGGCATACAAAGAATAACAAGAGTGCAGCTTTCATGAGGGAATTGCCTAATATACTGTTTATTTGATAATACATGCTTTTTCCCACATATTAATTTGAAGTACTCTCTTGATTTCATAGATTTATGTGTTTGGGGAAATAGAATTTTATAAATTTATAAGTGCATTTGGTCAGTTTCTGGACTTTGTAATAAAAACTACTAACTCATACTGATTTTACTACTGCAGCTGTATGGTATAAATGTCTGCTGGGATATTTCTCATTCTTTCATAATTTAATGGTGGTTAGCATTTTTTTCTAGTTGAATGTCAGCATAGTTATGCCTAGTTACTTCTGCCCTGATCAAAACAAACTAACAAGCAACTTCTGGGGTCATGGTGTATGTCTCTATGTGTATGAAATTGGCAGAAGTGTGGGTGGGATAACATCTTTATTTCGATGCATTCTTTTTTTTCCAAGAAAAAGGCATAGATTTCCATTTTCAATTTGTTTTTCATTCCTCTCAGAGTTACTGACTTTATCACATAATTGTGCACATTATTCTTTATATTTACAAGTAGATGTATTTTATTATCTTTGTAAATAGGAATTTTTAAAATTAAACTTCTCAAGTTGATTATGTGTTTATAAAATAAACTGTTTTCTGTACTAGATTTTTCAGATATACTCTCATGTGCAAATTATTTCTACTCTTCCTTGTTGGTATTTGATATGTTATCTAATAATTCCTATTTCATCTGCACCTGTGGGTTTGTTTTTTCATTTGTAATTGAAGGGACTTGTCTTTACTTATTTTACCTACTATAGTAAACAATGAAGATACTCTTTCTTCAAAATTGTCGTCTTTGAAGCTAGAAAACACTTCCATGCAATTAATTATAATAACTCATCTTGTATTTAGAGTTTGGTGGGGAGTTTGGCGGCTTTTCTTTTTACTTCTATTTCCAATAAAAATCAAGACTATCCCATCAGCCTCTGAGCCAGAGTCATTGTGTTAGCTTTCTTCTAAGCTAAATAATTTGTTTTTAATACAGTGTCATGGAACACAATTTTCTAAAATCTTTAAATCCTTTTTTGGAACTTCTTCAAATATTCTAACATTCTTGGCTAAAACTTTAATGTACCTTCCTTGAGGGGGTTCACTCACATTTACACTGCTTGCCTTGAAAAAGTCATCCTCCAGGCCACAATCTGTTTTAATAAACAAAGTAACTATTTTCAGAACAAGTGGTACTGAGAATAGAATTATATATGATTTTGTTTATATAGTTATCCTTCTTGTATATAGCTTATTTTTTCATAGTTATTTTCAGGAGCAAAGAATTATTGACTGTCATGTAGAGATAATGTTTCAGCAGTATTAAAAATAAACTTAAAACAATATATAGGTGAATTAGTTTCCACAGTTTCTATCTTGTTTGATAGTGGTCAGCTCATTTTTTTATGATTTAAAAGTTTGCCTTGTTTATAAGGCAAATAGAGAAATTCTAGGAAGATACTAGATAGGTACTAGCAGTAATTTATGTGATATGTATATATGTTTTCATACAGCTTTAACCACATAATACATAAAATTAATGTTAACAGTTTCAACAGTAACTTCAATAGGTTCATTTTAAATTTGCTAAAATTCTGGCATTAAAGATCTTCCTGCAATTGAGTAATCTTGAATATATTAGTACAAACATGCTTTTAGGAAGGAAACACCATTGATTTTGTCAATATTCAATTTTCTGATGATATATTTACTATGTTACTATATATAATTAGTTGCACCCACTGAGAAAATGGTTTTTACAGGGCAAGGTACCAGTTATATTAGAGTAGGAATATTAACAATTTTCTCACTCTCATTTTTTTTAAGGTCATGGAAAACGGGAGATTTGCAAAATACAAATATTTCACACATGTCATGATCAATAAAACAGATATGTTCATGATAACCAAAAGGTAACTTTTAGCATTATAATTTGTTAAAAAGATATAAAAGGACAGTAGAGGGGTAGACACAAACATATACAGAGAGGCAAGTGTTTATAGGAGTTATTAATTTAGTCTGGTTTCAGGGATAAGAGGTTCTGATAACCCCTCTAATCCAGGATTAGTGAAAAGTATATCAACCAAGTGATCCTGATTGGCTTTCCTTTTTCTAGGACAGCTTTCCCTTAAACATTTGACTTAAATTATGTTACTTAAGGAAACCTCTGTATGTACAATGAATTGGTATAGCAATAAGAAGGAAGAGTCAGTAGGAGAAAGACCTTTGAAGGTAGAATTAAGTAGAATTATTATAGACAAAATGCATTTTCATTGTTTTGTTTCTTCCCTCAATGTTGAGGGAAAACATGAATTAATTTTAAGTACTTTCCTGATGTAGTTTGATAAATACATTAGTCTTTCTTAGTAACACAAGCTTAATTCTGAAACATTAATAACCTGAATAATTGCCCAAAATATTCTTGACAATTGTAAATTTTCCCGTTTCTTATAAAATGTCTTATATAATTTTATAAGCACTTTAATTATAAAATATAAGTATGTGATGCTATAAATTTCCCACTAAGCATTGTGTTAGCTACAATGTAGTAGTATTTTTTTTTTTGCTGTTAAGTTCAAAATACTTTGTTTCCTTTGAGATTATTTGACACAATTATTTAGAAGTATATTTCTAAGCATCTAAAGTATTGTCACTTTCTGTTACTACTTTCTAATTTAGTTTCATTATTACTTGAGAACATACTTTGTGTGGTTTCTTGGTCACTAAGGTTTTCTGTAATCCAGAATATAGTCTTTGTTCTATGCACACTTTTACACAGTGTACATTATATTGTAATTATACTATTGAATATAAGTGTTGCAATTTTTAAGTGATTTTTTTTCTTTTTTTTTTTTTTTTTGCAGTGGTGTATTGTTCGTAACAAAAGGTACATTTGGTCAGCTTACATGTGAATGGCAGTATAGTTTTGATGAGTTTACTAAAGAGCCATTCATTGTTCATGGGAGAAGATTGCGTATTGAAGCTAAGGTATGTTGAGTAGATTTAAAAAAAAACAAAAGTTGGAAATGAAAATAATGCTTGGAAATACAGATGATGCCCAGTTTACAATAAATTGACTTACAATTTTTTTACTTTACCATGATGCAATAGTTGTATGCATTCCACAGAAACCTTTAAATTTTTATCTTTTTCTGGGCCAGTGATACCAGTACTATACTCGCATGAAGCTGGGCAGTGATAGTGAACTGGAGCTGCCGGTCAGCCACGTGATTATAAGAGTAAACAACTGATATGCTGCAGACAATTTCTCACTTTCAGTCCTGGGCTTAATTATATGAGATATTCAGCACTTTATTACAGATGCTACCGCTGGGTGGTCTAGTGGTTAGGAGTCAACACTTTCAGCACTTCATTACCAAGTGGATTTTGTGTGAGATGATTTTGTCCAACTAGAAGCTATTGTTAGTGTTCTTAGGCTTGTAGGTAGGCAAAGCTAAGCTGTCATGTTCAGTAGATTGGGTACGTTAAATGCATTTTAAACTGATGGCTTGACCATGATTGGAACCCTACCATAAGTCACAGAGATCTATAGTGTACTTTATTTCTGCTATGTTTTTATATCATTTATAGATGCCTTTTTGTCTTTGTGTTGTTTTCCTTTATAACTACTTTCTTATCCAGGCTTACAGAAAGGTAGACCAAGCAAAGCTTTGTTAACTTTATTTACTATTGCACTGACAACAGCATTCCTAGGCCCACATGTTACTTTCAGTAACAGAACTCTACCTTCTCCACTGCTGTCCAAGTCACTAAAATGGGGAAACATTTAAAAACCTCAGAATGCCTAGGCATTTCCTAAAGAATGTTTTTCCTTGGGAAAAAATCACACTAGTAGACTCTTGATGAATTTTCTCTCTAATAGGTCATTATTGACAGGTCTTTCCTTTTTAATGGATATTATCTTGTTTTCTGTTAACTTCTTTAAGGAAGAGAACATTCTCATTTTGCTTTGATTACTAGTAGCTACAGTGCCTGGTACTATAAGTTGCTATAAAATAGAGTGAATTGTTAGTACTTGGTAAGTCAATAGAGACTAAAATTGATCGTAAATTTTAATGAATGCACTAGGTGTTGCAGGTTATCAAAAGAATGTAAGATATATATTTAGCATTAAGATACTTAACCTAAGTGTAAGGCCATTTTGACTTTGGTTGTATTAGTAGAAAGGTATATGATGCAATCCAACTAAGCTTTATTTTGTTATTTCTGCTTTGTTTCTACTTGAGGGATTTAGTTGACTCATGGAACTTAAAAGTCTCAGTGTGTACTTTGTTGGTTAGGTATGCAAATCACGTCAGTCACAATTATTCACCTTTTGTCTCCTCCTCTGCTGACCTCATCTCTAGGATCTACTTTCTTCATTGTTGGCTTCATTCTCAAGCAGGTTGTGTCATCATTTGACCACATAGTGGCCAGCAGAATTTTTAGGCTTTTACCCTACTAGCTCAACAGAGAACTTGTCTTATTTGTCAGTTGTTGGTCACTTGCTTCTTTCTGTACCAGTCATTTTGGTTAATGAGCTTAGCTAGATCAGTTGGATAGGTAAAAGGGAATCACCATGTGCTACAGAGAAGGAAGGGTCAACTCTCAGATATTTTTGAGTGAGAGAAAATGATAAACAGTTACCTAATGAATATTCAAGATGTTTTTATTGTAAGATGGGGTATTGGACACAGGCACACAGGAGCAATATATGTCTTTTGTGCTACCCTATGGAACCGAGCTTTTATTGGGGCCAGTTTTAACCAGTGAAAACCATTTCCCCAGTCTTACTGTTTATTCTAAAGGCATGAAGTAGTTCTTGCATAGACTAGCTATTAGTTCTTAAAGATTGTAAACTGACTTACCTATTAAAAGTGTCTCTACTCTGGCCCTCCCTGGTGGCGCAGTGGGTTAAAGCACAGCACTAAGAAGCTTAACCCACTTCCTCATGAGTTCGATTCCCGCCTGCCCCGGAGGAGATCCACATGGTGAGGCAGACCTCTCCTGACCCGCCCGCTGCTCCCCTCAGCAGTGTACTTCATTGATCTGCCTTCTGTACCCCACTCTGTCTCTGGTGAATCCTCTCACCCTCCGCATCTGTGGCCTGTACCCCAGTTCTGTATGAATAAATAAATAAATCTTTAAGAATAAAAGTATCTCTACTCAGCAAAAGGAAGGCCCTGTGCCCACATATGAAATTATAGATGGTGGCTGTTAGGCTCTGCTCTCATTGTATCTTTTTCTCTACCTAAACGTAAGCTTAGTATTTCCTTCCCTTTTGCCTTTTCTAGAGACCTTCCTTGTGTCAAAAGTCATACCTTTTAAATTTTTTTTAAATAAAAGAACTTGATTTCTTTTTTTTTTTTTTTAAAGATTTATTTATTTATTCATACAGAACTGGGGTACAGGCCAGAGGCTCAGGGGCGGTGAGAGGCTTCACCAGAGACAGAGTGGGGAGCAGAACAGGCAGATCGACGAAGTACACTGCTGAGGGGAGCAGTGGGCGGGTCAGGAGAGGTCTGGCTCGCCATGTGGTCTCCTCCGGGGAAGGCAGCAGGCGGGAATCGAACTCATGCGGAAGTGGCCTCAGATTCTCAGTGCTGTGCTTTAACCCGCTGCGCCACCAGGGAGGGCCTGATTTCTTTTTTTTAAGGTGTATTTATTTATGCATACAAGAACTGGGGTACAGGCCAGAGCTGCGGAGGGTGAAAGGATTCACTAGTGACAGAGTGGGGAGCAGAACAGGCAGATTGACTGAAATACACTGCTAAGGAGAGCAGCGGGAGGATCAGAAAAGGTCTGCCACACCATGTGGGTCACCTTTCTGGCTGGGGATCGAACTCATGCTGCAGTGGCTGCAGATAACTTCATAGTGCTGTGCTTTAACCCGTCACATCACCAGGGAAGGCCAAAAGAATCTAATTTCTTCTGGGTCTATTTTTACATGGATATATGACAGAATTGTCACACTAGTAAAACTGCTACATTGCTTCTTCTGTGACCCTGCCCATAGTTAACAGAGGTAAACAATACCCTCCTCCTCAGTAATCACATTTTTTTTTTTTTTTTCTGTCTGTCCCTCTAAAACTTAACATCTACCTCCTGGGCAGTTTTTCTCTACAAGTGCTGAACAGGATGCTAAAGGTGACATTCATATAGAAACTAGGGCTCACCATTATTTCTTTGGTTATTAACCATATTGCATGATTGGTTTAAAATGTCAGAAGTTACACACCCACATGCATGCATGCACAACCATGCAACATGTATATGAATGTGTATACACATTTGTGTTTTTTAGCTGAACTCATTATGATTCCATGTCTAGATACGAAGAACTGTCTGAAAATTTGTTCTCAGTTGGGAGAATAGAAAATAAACACTGATGCTCTTCTCAGACTTATCTTCACCCCATCTTCTGTCTTTAGCGTTTGAAATCTCACCCAAGATTTTTAACTTTGGTTTATTGAAAGTGGATTGCTAAGTTTAGAATTTAGTTTTTTTCCATTTGTGTCTCATTCTTTTTGGTTTCCCATTCTTAACTTTATAAAATTATACAGCTTGAACAAGACTCTTTCAGCACAGATATATGATGCTGTATGTTATCTATTCTGTTTCTGTAGCTAGGTTTTCTTTTTTTTTTTGAAGATTTATTTCTTTATACTTATAGAACTCTGGAGTACAGGCCAGAGGTGTGGTGGGTGAGAGAATTCACCAGAGACATAATGGGGAGCAGAACAGGCAGATTTACAAAGTATACTGCTGAGGGTAGCAGCGGGCGGGTCAGAAAAAGTCTGCCACGCCATGTGGGTGACCTCCCTGGCCGGGGATCAAACTCCTGCTGTAGTGGCTTTGGAGAGTTTTATAATGTGGTGCTTTAACTTTAACCCATTGAGTCACCAAGGAGCCCTGGATTTGCATTTTAATGAAGTGATTTTCTTTCTTTATAGGAACGAGTTAAGTCTGTTTTCCATGCCAAAGAATTTGGAAAGATAATAAACTTCAAGACTCCAGAGGATGCAAGGGTAAATATAATGAACCTTTTTTCTTAAACAGATAGCAGTTTCTCAGTTATAAAATCATGTAAGTTTCGCCTTTTTTTTTTTTTTTTTTTTTTTTTAAAGATTATTGTGCATACAGAACTGGGGCACAGGCAGAGGTGCAGGGACAGTGAGAAGAATTCACCAGAGACAGAGTGGGGAGCAAACAGGCAGATGGAGGAAGTACTCTGCTGAGGGCAGCAGTGGGCGGGTCAGGAAAGGTCTGCCAGGCCCTGTGGATCCACCTCCAGGGTGGGCAGGATCGAACTCCAGGGAGGGCCCAGGTGGGCATTTTTTAAGGCAACTATGTTTTGTTATTAATGTAAAAATTTGACAGTTTTTACATGTGTATCTAAGTCATATTTTCCTCAAACTATTTTTCATTAGATTGAAGAACTGTCTGAAAATTACTTGTTTCTCATATTAAGTGCTTTGTTTTAAATACTAATAGTAATACTTTGTTGAAAAAAGATATAAATTTCATTCATATTCCAACTTACTGGCTTCAACATGAAAATTATAATCTTATATTATTGATTTCTCTATTGTATAGCTATAATGATTTGTAAAAATTACCATTGCTAGGCAAAACAAACTATACCTGTAATCAGAAAATCTGATTTGAATGTTGGTTCTGTTACTTCTTGATAAGGACCCTGGGGACATCTGTTAACCTCAGTTTTGTCAAAATGGGCATGATTCAAACTGAATCATGCTATGTATACATTAGGGATTACGGCAATTACAAGGATAATACATTGTCTAGAACAAGAACATTATGAACTGACTATCCACGTCAGTGATCACAATTAAGATGCTGTTCTTTATACTGAATTGTACTCACAGTGTTAAGAAACTTATAATAGGGACATAGAGCTTCTTTACTAAATCTCCCTGGACCTCCCTGCCCCATATTTCTTGCTGAATTGGTTCTTGCTAGGTATGACTGTTAGCCAGTTCACTTAATCAAACCAGGAACATTGGACCGCTGAGATAAACTGTGTGGTTTGCTTTCTAGAAATTATGATTTAAAGCAACACTGGCACACTAATAGTGTAAAACTGAAAAAGGGAGTAATTTACAAAGTAAATGGAATAAACTGACTTGAGCCTCAATATGTGTATTATATGAAGTGAGGAGAGAGGATATATCATGACTTTCAGGCCGCTGCCTTTCTGAAGGACATTAATCGCTGTTATAGTTTCTCTATAATATAGTTTCCATTTAATCTCTGTTACCATGTTATTTTATGCCTGAAGTCTTGTCTTTAATCCTCCTGCTGCCAGAAACATTCAGAAAAAAACTACTGAACTCAAAAATCTATTCCCATCAGGTTCTTCTTAAGTTATTTAAAAAAAAAAGGGGGGGGGGTGGGGAGAGGGAAGTGCACGGGATTATGGTGATGGCACACAGGTGACTTGGTGATGGGAAACCCACGGGGATTACAATTGAGGTGAAAAAAAATGTACAAAATGATGTAAAAATAAACGGTTATAAATAATATATATATATATATATATTTTAGCACAGATATCTCAGTTAAAGTTAAAATGTTTCATAATGGAATAATATCACTGACCTCCAAAGCTTTTATCTGTCATGTAGGTCCAATAGTAACAGACATCGGGAGAGAAATTTCCAATTCACTTGCATTTTATTTTTGTGATTTCAAATCATTCCATAATAGAAACTGTATCATAAGAGGACCTAATGAATGTTTAAAAATGTTGTTATGCTACTGCAGCCACTATAGAATTATTTGTGATTATTGCTGCTCAGTCAGTAGAATCCTATATATGGAATCATGAAGATTTATGATATAAAATTGAGATAGATGAAAGGAATTTTGCATCATCAGTTTTCACAGAATTTTTCAGTGCAGGTGCCCAGTTACTCCTCTCTCAGGATGGTTCATTTTAGTTATTCTAAAGATGAACATCCCTATCTAAATACCTTAGAAAAAGAATATTCCTACTGTTAAACCCAGTACCATTGTCTTGTGCCATTTGGGCCATTTAAGTGAGTGACTAATCTCTTATGCAGGATGAATTAATTATTGTCTGTCAGCATATATCTAAACTGGAGAGCCAACATCTAGATTTCCATTTATTTCACTTTGAGTTTCATTGCAAGTTCACTGAAGTAAGTAAATGTTGATTTATTTCCTTACAACAGTGGATTCTCACCAAACTAGAAGAAGCAAGAGAACCTTCTCCCAGCCTATGATGGAGAACACTGCCTGAAGACTCACAGCAATAAACCATTACAGTTGCCATCTTGTACCATCCAAAACCTGTTTACGATGTATAGTACAGAAGTAATTTCAAGTACCAAAAAAAAAAAAATCAACTAAAACAGCTACATAATTAGGATATTTCAACTCTTTTGGGGATTCCTTTGATTTTCTAACTTGAATCATGCATCTGATTAAAATTCTAATTGCATTATAATTTTTCTTTTATCTTAAATATTTGCTCCAGGTAATTATCTGCAGTGAAGAAGTTGCATCTGTTTAGCTTCCAGATGGAGCTAAATTTGATGTTGTTCCTAATTCTTATTCTAAACTTCTATCATGCTTACTTCAGACTCCCGGAATGAGTGACGGGTAAATTATCAAATCAGATACTGACTTAGTAGTATCAGCCAGAGAATTTGAGCTGTGGTTTCCTTAGAAACATGGAGTTCTTTTTATAGATAAATATTTTGGTATTATTTTCATTATTTTTAAAATAAAACTTAGGTTTGAATTATACTTAAATGCATAGCTTACACAGTATTTTTTTATATAATATAGATTGAATTATATTTCCTCTGTCTCTTCATAAGAAAGGCTTGAGGAAATGAGTGTCATACCTAAAAAGGGAAAAGTCCCTCTAGGAATTTTGAAGCCTTAGAATACTTTCTTCAAACCAACTTCTTTGGATCTACTTAGCTTACACAGGTCATGTTTAAATGTTTCTAACTTTAAAGGAAAATTCCCAAGGCCTTAACAATACCAACTTCTTTCCACTGGTAATATGAAATAAACTAAATTGCCAACATCTTAGATATAATGAGTTATGCTACAAGACAAACAACTTCTAGTTACTGTAGAAACATTTCCAAGTAATTGTACCCTAAGTTCTAGTAACCTGTCCTGTTGGCAATAGATTGAGAATTTTTGGTGTGCTTTCTCTATAGTTAAACAGTGAGAATCATTCTTTTAAATGTAAAACTTAATCAGATCAAAGACCCCACGGGCTGCACATTAATAGCAATGAAATTAGACGGTTTTTCCTTGGTTTTGTCCAGGATTCTTTTACCTTAATGGACTTTTCCAAGTTAAAAAGGATGAATATATGAAAGGAATAATGCAGTGTCTTAGTTCTTGAATATATCCAGTGTATTTGATGCATGTTGTATGTACTACCAAATTATTCTAACCTGTATTTGGAATTGGAGACTACATACTAAGTGGTTGTGAAATTTCCTCAAGCTTCTCAAATCCTTGCTTTTTCTAAAAGCTAACATAAACACCATGCCAGGCTATAATTGAGTTCTTGTTGACAAGATCTTGCCACTAAATATCATTGATTTTCCTCCAACTACAAAAACATTGTTTATTATCAACAGTTCTCCAAAAAATGTTTTTTTCTTTCCTGAACATAAATTGAAAAATTTCAAATCACATGATGACATGTTCTGCCATGATGAACTTTGTCAAAGTAATATGCATGTTTTCTCTGTTGCTAAACTCTTCTAATTTTGCATACTTAATAATTATACCTAATAGTAGATGTAGTCAGGAAACTTTCATCAGAGTGTCCTCATCCAAGTGTTTCTTTACTGCAGTTTCATCCCTGCCATTAACCAACTACCTCTTTAACTACTCCAATTTCATTTTTTTTTCCAAGAACAAATGTAAAACTCTTGTGTGTTTCATGAAGAAGGATAGAAATTCTTCCAGTATCCTCTGGAGGCCAGAAAGAGTGGGTCTTAAAACAAGTATACATGCCAACCCAGTGTGCCTTTCCTCCCTGTTCTCTTATCAGTAAGAACATAGAAATATCTTTCTTAACCAGTCTTCTGCCCATCAACACTTCTCATCACTTGTTCTGTCTCTAAGCATAGAAGCCACATAAGGAACTGTTCTGTAATTCCAGAGCAGTAGTTTATTAGTTGTCTTAATTTAAACAGATAATGTCAGTAGATCACTAGCTAGTGTGTCAAACTTTTTAGCATAACATTTTACAATTAGTTATTTGATTCCATATTCCTCTATTTTTCTTGAAATACTAAGGTCTAGAATCTAATTGAAAACAGTCTTCCCTGAATTATGTTAACTATACGTACTGACTCATTAAAACTGCTTGTTTTAGTTATTAGGTAGTTACTGTAGAATGAGGTTCTAAGTACTGTGTCCTTTCTTTCTTTGTACTATTTGTTTGTTATAGCCCTAGGTTTTTCATTCTAGCATTTCTGGCATGTGGTGAGTATATCAGAATGTTCTCTGCCAACTATGATCTTGAGAACTAGCTATGATTTCTGCTACACAAAGAAGCTGTGATTGCTTCACATTTACAAAATACTGTCTGAACCAAAGAGCATGTGCATGTCTCTGATGGCCTCCTTCCTACAGAGTGTGTGTGTTGACTGTCCTGTAATCTTAGCAAGAGCTTGGGCTCTTTCCCACACTTACTTTAGGACAGCTGAGTTATTTTCTGGTCTCTAAAAAAAATCATTATAGTAGGCTATTCTTCCCTCAGCCTCTTTCCTCCATAATCTAAATCCATTCCTAAATTAGACTGTGGCCTCCAAATATATAAGAAATTTTTCTTTAACTTATATTTGTATTATAAATACATCTTTTTTTCTCATAGCTGTAGAAGTAATATCTCATATGCACTTAATTCTTCCTTTAGAAATATCCTACAGTAGTAGCCTAATGCTGTCCAGTAAATGCATGCAAAGCTGCATTTTCTACATCTTATTCAGTCATTATTCTTATTACTCAGTATCATACAATTATTTAGTATTAGCTGATCCTCAGGTCAATCAAAAGACTCTATGTTAAGAAGATTGGCATGAGGTAATGTATTAATGAATCTGCAGGAGCTGAAAGTGTGTGCTAAATATACTGACTGTGGAAGTTGCCATTTGGGGCTGGGACTTTTCATGTCCCACCCCATACAATTCAGAAAAGTCTGTTTGGGCTCTAGGGTTTTGCATTTTATGTTTCCCTTTCAAAATTATCTGAAATCCTCAAGAGCAGTGTTTTTCAAGCTATATGTCCTAACCTACTAATAAGTCATGAAACTGAAAACCAGCATATTTTTTAAAGATTGATTTATTTATGCATACAGAACTCGGGTACAGGCCAGAGGTGCAGGGTCAGTGAGAGGAATCACCAGAGACAGAATAAGGAGCAGAACAGGTAGACTGACAAAGTACACTGCTGAGGAGAGCAGCAGGCAAGACAGGAAAGGTCTGGGGCACCATGTGGGTCACCTCTGGGGCCGGTGATTGAACTTGCACTGAAGTGGCTATGGCCAGCTTGCAATGCTTTGCTTTAACTGGCTGTGCCACCAGGAAGGGCCCAAGACCAGCATATTTTAAAAGTGAACTAGTAAAGAAGAGAATATTGCAGGTAACAAAGTTGAATATTGTTTACTGAAAATTGTTTTATATACTTTATAACTGTGTGTACTGGGTCCTGATATAAAAGGTTATTTCCTGTTGAGAACGAATTTTTTTTTTTAAAGCCTTGAAAATCACTATGAGACACGAGCCATCCAGTAATTGTTAGAACATTTGGATGGTATGGGGCTTGCCCTTGAATAAGGAGCAGCAGGCTCATTACTCAGGGGGTCTTCAGATTTTGAGTACCACCTTCTTTGAGAAGATAGGGTAGCTTCAATTTTGGTTTATAACATGTTTTCCTTTCCTGGTGTGTATCTGATACCCCAATACCTGTGTATCAGCGTTCAACTCATACCAGGTATCAGTGGGACTAGAGAAAGCTTTAAAAAAATTGATCCACAAACACTACTCAAAAGAGCATGACAGGATATTATTTATCTAGATGTATTTCAATCTTTCTCCCACTAAGCATTTTACTAATATTAGGACTAAAGTTCTCCTTTTAATAAGTGAGTTGAATTTATTGTGTTTAGCTTCAGTTTGATTAACCATACAGGTGACAAAGGCCCTTAAAAATGATGAAATGACTATAGAGTAGTGCATTCTTGTAGGGCCTATATACTCATTCTCTAGAGGTGCTACGCAACTGTCAATGCACTCTCACCATGAAGAATTGGATTGCCTCATTTCTATAGGATCTAAGTAGAAAATGTAGACCACCTATGTGTATTCTTTATGCAGGCATTAATACAAAATTTATTCAGTCTGCTTTTCTTTGGTGCTACCCAGTAATTTTTACTTCGAGCGCCTTTAACAAATTATAACAGGGGACCATTCAAATTCCTGACCAATCCCTTGAAATATACTTTTGAAATTACTCATTATTGATACTAGTCTAATCAAGGTAATAATCCTTAAAATGCTCATGATTTTTAGAATCTTTGCTTTCAAATGTTGATTTGTACACCTATTAGCAGATTTTTCTTCATGTTGCTTTTCTTCCTACCACAGCTAGCCTAAGTTTATATTTGTTTCAGGGCTATCCTAAAAACAGCTCAGCATTTAGACTGATTAAGATACCAGATTCTACTCTACTCCATCACAAACCTCTTTGTATCTTTAATTGAATTTTTTTTTTTACTTTCTCATTTGTAAAGTAAGTTACTCCATGTTATTGTAAAGGTTTGCTTTAGAATTACAGATGAGGTCTTTTTTTAAAAACTTATAACATTTTCAAGAAAAAAAAGAAAGCAATACTTTATTTTAGTTGTCCAGAGAACTACCTAGGATATGTAACATCAAATTTTATAGGTTAATATGAGTATATTTTTAAAGTTTTTATTACTGTATACAGATTCAAATTGCTACAATTTAACAAAATGCTTTGATACCTATCTATTGCATTGACAAATCCCTGTGACTGAAAACCTATCACTTAGTATTATTGCTCTAAAATTTATTGTGTTCTTTCTACTGATCTCCTTGTAACAAGAACCCTGGTGAGAGCTATGTAATAAAAAGTGTAGTTAAATAGAACATGTGGAATAGGCCCTACATATTCTTACTGCTGGAAGCCATCATAACAGTTGGCTTCCTCAAAGCTCCCAACTTGGGGATAGAAAAACATTCAGATGAAAGTGTAAATTACATTGAAATGTTCTCACTATTAATAATTTTATAACTATAATCAGAAACTTACAGAAATTGCATCCAGGATTTGTTACAAGGTCAGATACATTGTTAAACTTTTAATGGTCAGTCTCTGTACATGAATATGTGTATTACTTACATGAATTTTTCAGGGAATGTGCACTTTAAAAATACGCCCTTATTAGTTTTTGTAGTGATCAAATAGTGCTGCTTTATTGGAATAACTCCTTCCCTTTCATGTTTCTTATGCCTCTTATATAGACTCCTCACCTTATTTCCTGTTCCACAGTCTCTGCCTTTGTTTTGTGGATTCTGATAAGATAATATATGAAGACAAATGTTTACAGTGAATTGTTTCCTCTTGAAATTGACTCTAGTCTTTATTTTTCCCCTGAAAATTAGTTGGCCATGCTGAGTAATTACTAATTTTTTATAAGTAAGAATTATTTCTTGCTATGGTATAATTAGATTGCTTAGCATGATGACTGCCCCATGTAACAGTGTGTATATAATTTTGTCAAATAAATTGAGTCTAACAAACTTTCTGATCTCTAATCTGCCTCTCTTCTAAGTTGTTGGACAGAACTGGAAACATTTCCCATAAACCTTCCCTCAGCTGTCTCATACCCTCTTTTGGTTCTTTGTAAGTGTGTTAGTAGATAAGTTGGCCAAGATCCTGATCTTTCAGAGCAGTCAACATCCAACCCAGTATAATCACTGCTGACCAAAAAGCTTTGAGTGGTAATATTTAGTGAATTCTTAAGCACCGAAACTGTGCCTCTCAACCTCTGGAAACTTTGAATAGCTCACTTCAATAAATAGTAAGTATATTTTTAGATTTTTTTTACTTGTAGAGTTAATACTGGAAGTATAAAAATTTTCCAGTGAAAAATCCACACTTTTTAAAATTTCCCTGATTGCTGATTAGCTTGGGTCCTTTTGATATGCCACTTGGAATGATTAGAAGTAATCTGTGACTTGGAATGCCTGGTATCCCACTCCCAGTCCTCAGAGTTGTCTGTCTTGATGTTGATGTTTCTAGATATCCTTAAGAGAGCTGCTTTCCTGTATCTGTTCTTTTGTGCAAAATTGTCTTGGCTAATATGGACCTTTACTGTTCCAGATAGATCTTTAATAGTACTTTGTCAGGTTCCACAAAAACTGTTGCATTTGCATTCATGTTTTGAGTGAAGGTTAGTTTTTAAAGGCTTAATGTTGCTATGGTTAGCATAAAACTATAAGCATAATTCTTTTCTAGCATTGATGATGATCTTTTGAATAGTTTAACACTTGGAAGTGTTTAACTGTAACTATCCTAACTGATAAGAAAACTTAAGTGTCCGTACAGGAATGCTCACAGTTTGTTGTATACAATTGTGTTAACTGGAAATAAAGTCTCAATGATAAAGTGATGATTCAAGTCCAATAAACAGTTTGACAGATTTTACCTTGTTAGAACTATTCCAGTAAACCTAAGTTTGAGTTTTTATTGGTAGGAATAGTGATACAAAAAAGGGAGGTCATAACATAAGTTAGCGTGGAAAGTCTGATTTTTCAGAGCACTTCTGTCTCTATCCGGACTATGTCAGTCGATAGAGGTTGCATAGCTTGTGCCAGTGACCCATAGCCATTAAGAGAGTAATAATACTTGATTGGCAGGACTTCTAGTTATAGCTGTCCTTACTTAAAGATATGCTGATGCTAAAGGAAGGCAATGCAAGATTGAATCTCCTCTGAAGAATGCACTGCAGAGATACAAAGGCTGGGTTCCCATTGTTAAATCTTTATCTGGCTCCTTGGTCATCAGTGGATATTGCCTTTATCTTCAGGTAGCTGGCTTCCTGTATAGGTTGAGAGGATGGAAACTTCAGACTTTTCAGTCTGTAATGATGACTTTGCACTTTTGCATTATACAGCAGGGATGGAAGGAGGAGTAACACCAGAATATTTTTCAAGATATTCATGTCACTGATCCGAATTCAATTTGTACTCTGATTGGAGGTAAGAAGTATAACTCCTTAAATCCTTAAGTGAGGTGTATTTACATGTGTGAATACACCATCACGTAAAAAGTAGAAAAAACTGTCCGTTAATTCGAAGCACTTGCACTTCTCACGGATTCTGCTTCTGCTTTACTGAACCAATACTGAGGGAACACCTAACAGATGATGGTTACAGACTTACCTCAAAAGAGAGATGAAGGGGAGCAGAATATATAGAATTATTTGTGTTTGTTTTAAAAAAACACCAGATTCAAGAAAAGCTCTGAAAAGGGGATAGAATTTACCCAGCTAAGGGAAACGTATATTTATAGGAAAATCTCCATTTGTATGAGTGTCTCCTACCTTGTTACTAGGAAGAGAAGAAAATCTCTAAATCACAAGAAATACTCATCAGTAAGAAGAGCACCCCACTTAAATAGCGTTTAACAGCTTTACCTTAATTTACTGTTTTTCTTGTGAACATTCCATTATTGGCCTTCTTTCCATTTTCTCCCAGTCCAGCATCTTACATCTTTAACTGTCTTTGATAATGTATTTAAGGTGATGACTTAAGCTATTTTAGGGAGTTGACTCAGTTTTCCTAGGTATCTATTATGTAGATAGTATAAATATTATTAAATTTATGTTTATCATGGTAATCTTTTTATTATAGAGGGATCAGTTTGGCAATCCACAATAGTCACTACTGAGACTGCATATCCGGGAAGACTGGCAGAAACCAGTAAAAGGTAATCATTCTAACCAAAGTCCCACTCTCCCAGATCTATGTCTGTAGTGCCCAGGCAGGTGAGGTGAAGGGAAAATTTTCCCTTTGACCCTTCCTTCCCAAAACTAAATTAGCAGGAGAAAAGACCTGTGTAAATCACAACTCCAGTACAGAGATTTTGTTACTAACATCTTGTCTGCTACTGATCACATTTCTCCTAGAGAATGGCATTGTTTTCCATTGTCTCTCTTGTGTCATATGACATGAGGAAGAGAACCATAATTAAAGTTTTTCCTTAATTTGCTTTGTGTCTTAAAAGCTTCATTTTGTGATCAGTAAGAATACTCTTGGAAGATGCAAGTATCAGTTTGTGTCTGACAATCAGGTAGCCAAATAATCCAGGGACCTGAGACATGAGTGATGAGAATTGTCTGTCCAGCCATGCCAGTTCTCAAGCAAATTTAAGGGTCCCAGTTCATAAGAGGTCTTTGCCATCTCATCAGTGCTGAGGAAGGCTTACAGCAGTAGTGCCTGCCTGGTGTTAACAGATTAGTGGCTCTGTGACTGGTAGGGTCTTGTATTCCTTTCAGAAACTGGAGTTATCTTTACTTTCCCCTTAGTGTTACTGACAGTGAGGTCTTTGCTTAAGGCTAACTCTGGAAGTAAAGTTTCTGTATTTTGCACCTTCTTAGGGGATCACATCTTAGGACGATGGCTAAGCCAAAATGGTTTGAGTCATTATTGAGATATATGTACTGTGAAAGCTGCTCATCTATGGCTAGACTGCATGCAGCCTTTGAATTTGACTTTTCTATCTGAGACACTTTTAGCTCCCATTCTCTAATTTGCCTTGTTTATTCCTTTGAAATGAGGATACTAATATGTAATTAAAATTACTCAAAATATGCCAAAGAAAACAAACTGTTTTGGCTAAGCAAAGATGTGTGGTATGGAGACACATTTTCCTTACAGAAAAGAGTAATTTTGTACTAAATTAGAACAGATTGTAGAAATGAGAAAGAGGACAACAAAGGTTAAATGACTTCAGAAAGTCAGTAAGTGAGAAACAAGCTTGTTAAGCTGGGTGAGTGGAATGCATTTACCATAAGGGTTTAGAGAAAATACAGTGATGTGAAACTAAAATTTTCTCTGATCTGCTAAACGGACAGAGTTTTCTTAGGTTCTCAGTCTGTTCCTAATAAAGGGTTTTGAGAAGTTTTTTGTTTTGAGTAATCTGCCTAGAAAGTAATCAATGTTTTACTAAAATAATTTTCTGAGTTTGATGTCATTTCATCATCAGGTATTTCATTCCTTGGGAAAGTTGAGCCCTCTTGATAGTAATAGCTGAGTTTTGCACACAATGTAGCCTTCTATTTTTGTCTTAAACTTTTCTGTTGAGCTTTGCCTAAATAGGTAATTATATATTTTTCATAATGAAGTGTGGCCCTTGCAGTCAGGTGTCCCTCAGATAAGCCAGCAATATCTCAGAAGCTTTCTAGAACATCATTAGATTTGTTGTCTCTGTAAAGATTTTAAAGATTTATTTATTCATACAGAACTGGGGTACAGGCCAGAGATGTGGAGGGTGAGAGGATTCACCAGAGACCGAGCAGGGAGCAGAACAGGCAGAGTGACGAAGTACACTTCTGAGGGGAGCAGGAGAGGTCTGCCACGCCATGTGGATCACCTCTGGGGTAGGCAGGGATCAAACCCATGAGGAGTGGCTTTAGCTTCTTAGTGCTGTGCTTTAATCTGCTGCGCCACCAGGGAGGGCCAAGGAGGCTTTTTGATGTGTTAAACTACCTGGAAGTACTGGAAAACCAGCAGTGACACAAAACTTCCCAATTGGTCATATTTATATGAACAGTTGGTATTATGATGTATTCCAGAAATTCTTGGAAATCTGATCTATCCTGGCATATTGTAGTTAATGTCTTAAATGTTTGTCACAAAAAGAACCCAATTTGCTAGTCAACTTGCATTAAAATGAATTTTTAAAACTTTATACTTTGACATTTTAAAAATTCTTTTGTAATTTACAGAAGTTGTTTTGCTTTGGCAGAAGTGTTAACAGCAGAGACAGTCATACCATTGGACTGGGTATGTATTCATAGAACTGTAAGGAAAATTTGAATTCATAAAACTGATAAAAGAGGAAAGTCACTAAGGAGTACATAGGATTGAATGAACTGATGAGAATGATCATAATTTTTACTTTAAAACATTGATGATTTGAGTGTGCTGTTTTTCTAGATTTAAGGAAATATTTTTACTTTATAAGCTATATAAATGAAACACCAGTTTGGTCAAGTATATCTTTGTGAATAACATGGAAGAATTACTTTTTCTCCCTACCTAATTTGGAAAGTCTTAGTATTCTTAGCTAAGAAACTATGTTTATATGTACACAAATGCAATAAAGATCTGTTATCCTTGTACCAAGAAATATTGGTTTGATTAGAAGGGGCATAGAATCATGTATGATCAAATAGTTTTTAAAAAATAAAAGCTAAGATTGAGTTTCTGGAGCTAATAAAGCCTCTTGGAAAAACTACCTGGTACGTTGATCTCTTATAGGCTTTTTGGCAGACTTACCAGGTGGGTAAGGATGGGAGGGGGGAATTAACTAACCCAAATGTGTAAAAGTTGCAGCAAAGCAGATTGAAAAGAACTCATGTTATTCTTTGCTACACTTCTGTCAATACTAAGATTTATTTTGCAAACAACTTTGCTTTACTGTTATTACCTTTGGTAAAAAATGGGGGTGATTGTAGAGCAGACAGTGTTTCAGTAGAAACTGTAATATACCTTTGTAGATATCAGATCTAGACTTTTTAAATTTGAGGTCTTATCTGTAAATTTTATTAGATTCTGAACTCAAAGTTCTTCAGACTCTAGCTACAACTTGATACAAACTTTAGAGAAATGTCCACAACAGCTTAATCTTGAGACAGTACCTTTTTCTGTGTAAGTCACTCAATTTTTATCTGAAAAGCAAGTAACATCAGTGGCAAGATAATTTGATCCCAACATCTAGAAGCATTCTGACAGCCCTCAGGACTTAGGCTGTGTTTATTATATGTCCCAGCCAGTACCTTTGTTTTTGTTTTCACAGACATGACCTCATATTGAATACCTGATTTGCTCACCATAGAGCCTTCACTGGGAGCATATGCAATACTGCCAATGAAACCAGACATACTGATGTACTTTCAACACTAAGAGGTTGGTTCAGTGAAATGATAAAGAATAGTCTGTCATCTCACTGTGAAACTGAAGTAGTGTGACTGAAAGGGACTACTAGAATATACAACCCCAAAATAGGTTTCTTTGGTATAAGCATCATTTTTAAGAGACAGAGAAAAGCTTTGAACACTAACGCAAGTCTGAAACCATGAGGGGGAATGTACCTAACTGGAGTATGCATGCAATTTTACTGTTTAGGGCACTCAATCAGTAATTTTTTTGGTCTACTACAAGGACATTCAAAAAGTTGAACACATTAATCATGACCTGAAAGAAACACAACATAATACAATGGCAGAATGGTATATTCTTAGGCATACCATACATGGTTCAAACAAATATAATGTGAGCTGTTAGCCATTTCTTGAGTTTACAGGACTGGGTCATATACAATGATCAAGGGGTGGCAGAAGTGAGTTATTATAGTTATTAATTTGACTTAGAAAGTTAGCCAATAGTTTAATGTGCTACCAGTTTTTTTTTAAAGAGATGCTTTATCATAAACTGAAAAAATAACTTGACAAGATTTAATAATAAAACTTGAAAGACATTATCTATATAAATATGCCCGTTAGTTGTATCATTTTTTAAACACAAATGTAATTAAAAATCACAGTGCCTTTGTAAAATTATAAAAAAAATCTTATAAACTAATCACCGCTCTCTGTCCTATATAGCCTGCCTGCATGATGGACTTGGGTGATATCACAAGCACTTGGAAATTAGAAGACAGGATTTGCAAGCTCCTCTTGTTGAGCAAGGATTGGGTAAGCAGCTTTTTAAACTAGGTTGAATTCCCTCAGGTTTAGCTGTAGAATTGTGTCTTTCACAGCAGCAAACACAAAGCGGATATTCTCCGTGTCTGTAGCACACGTGAAATGTGAATAGATGATTTTCTCTTTGTTAGGATTCTGATCTTGATAAAGCTTCAAGATAAAGTCTCTGGCAGCTTTGACATCCTGTTTTGGTCCTAAACAGGAATAAAGAAGAGAAATAACTCATTAATGACCATGTAAAATAATTTGTAGGTCCTCAAGGACACTTTAAAATACTGCTTAATTTGTTGGGAAAAAAGTGGTGGGTTAGTAGAGTAAAAAGTATGTGGCAACTAACATTATTAACCTAAAATGTGATTAATATTTGAGACCTCACGGGAAACTGCAAGTAATGTACAATTGGTCATAAACTTTCTTTGATAGGTTATGTCTCTGGAGTCTGGTAAAGGAGCTGCTACATTCTATCTGACCAGCAGTGAAGTCAGTTGGTCACAGGAGCTGACTGGGGGAGGAGAGCAGACCTCACTACACAAAGGCTAGGTGAAGGTAAGCCCACCCGCACCACATAGGGGTCCAGAGTCAGAAAGGCAACCACAAGGAGCTGCGTCTTGGAGACAGTGGAATTAGCAAGTATATTCCAGGCAGTACTGCCTCCATTCAGACGTGGGGATGGTGGTAAAGTCTCATAATAGGTTCACGGGGCTCCCTCATCTGGCTGTAAAATTTGAGGCCAAAACAATGCATGCTTACCTGTATATTCTGGAAAATAGCTGATTAGATGAGAGTACATGATTTTCTCTTCCAGAAGATCCTTCTTGTTTAGGAACAGAATCACAGAGGAGTTCAGAAACCATGGATAGGTGATAATGGTTTTAAATAAGGCTTTGCTCTCTTCCATCCGATTCTAAGTAAGGAACAAAGAACTGAGGGTAAACTAGAAAGGAAAGCGGCACATCATCTGTCCTCACAACCTTACTCCCCTACAGCACTGCAAACCTTCTCAAGTCTCAATGGGACGAGATAAAAGAATCTTTGCACCCACTTTGATTGAACTTCTAGACCATGCATTGGGATTCATACAAGGAAGGTAGGCACAGTCCTTAGAAATGCATTCTTAAAATTTAAGTTTTTCAAACATGGAAGCAGCCCAAATGCCCAAAAGTAGATGACTGGATTAGAAAGATGTGGTACATATATACAATGGAATATTACTCAGCAACCAAAAAAGAGAAACACATGTCTTTTGCAGCAACTTGGATGGAGCTGGAAAAGATTATGCTGAGTGAGATAAGCCAGAAAGAGAAAGAAAAATACCGGATGGTTTCACTCATAGCAGGAGTATAATGGACCAGGCGAGAAAATAACAAAAATAATGAACAACCATAGACCAGAGACATTCTGTGGGGGTGGAGTGGGGAATGGGATCAAAAACGGGGGGGGGGGGGAAGGGAAACCCGTGGGGATTACAATTGAGATGAAAAAAAAAAAATGTGAAAAATGATGTAAAAATAAACTTTTTAATAAAAAAAAATTAAGTTTTTCATATGTAATATTTCCTTGGGGATTATTAAGATCAGAATAAATTTTAATGAAGGTTATAAACAAGTGAGGAATTTACCTCTTGGGTAATCAATTCCAGATTTTAATTAAAAAAAATATATTGTGAAATGAAGGGCTCCATTCTCATGTGCCGAGGCAAAAACCTGCAATGTTATTGAAGTCTTAACATGTTCAAGGTGTCTCCCTGCTCTGACTGTAATATCAGCAAAGGGAGATTGGTGAGCTTTTACAAAGGGAACAAGATTCTTAGGTATAGATGAGCATACTGATAGCTAAATGTCATTTATAGAGAACAAGCTGGATGCTAAGATTTTATTTTGTGGCAGCAGTTCTTACTAGTAACATTCTGCATACAAGTATTTCAAAGTCCAGCATAGGTGCTCCACAGACATGCCAAAAATCTCCCACTCAATGCATTTTTGGGGATTAAGATCTGGAATTAATGACCTGAGAGACAACTTCCTCACTTGTTTTTAAATCTTACTTAATCTGACTGTAATAATACTCTCCAAGGAAGGATTATATATGAAAAACAAGTCCTGTTAAAGGATAGTAAATTAATGCAACTCTTATATGATGTCTCTAAAGAAAACAAAATTTTCCATGATTTCTATTCTTCCTTGTACAGTGACAGTCGTAAATGGGCTAATAGTGTCCTCGTTAGGTAGTGTAACTACTCCAAGAAAAGTTGAGTGTTAAATACAAGATAAAATGCATTCAAAACTTCATGCCGGGCACAGTTCTTTACTGATTTAGAATGTGTCTTTCTTCCAGAGCATGAAGGGGAGGAGAGAACACAAGCTACTCAAACCTCTCAAGGCAGATCTAACAACTCGAGTTCAGTGGCCAGTGCTTTAGCAACGGTGCAGAGGACATTAAATTCCTGACTGGAATTTCCCTCCCAAGAAGGAAGGGCAGATGCTGCCCCAGGTAACCCCAAAACTACTCCCAGCATCTGGCAACAACCCAGCTAATGTCCTAATTTGGAAACACTGTGGTCTGTCGTGTTTGAAAAGAATGCACAAGTAAAGCTTACCTGATGTACCATTCCTCATGTTGCCTGTGTATTAGCATCTGTTGGTGGTACATGGTAAAGAGGCTTGGAGGTGAAAAAAGTCCCCTAAGTGATTCCACTGTGCACATAAGGCTGACATCTGATGTAGCACATTATATCAGATCCTGTGCTCAGGTCACACCCATCATCAAATGATTCAGGTTCTTATGGTGTCCAAAAAAATTTCAATGTGTAATTTAACTTTGAGAACCAGAGTTCAAGGCTGGTGATTCTCAAACATTATATGAGTTTGAATTGCCTGGGGTCTTACTACCTGTGTTTCCTAGAGCATTTAACCTAAGGGAGGGAACAGAAGCTAATACCAGACATGGCTTGCTTCTTGGAAACTTAAGCTGTGTCTTTCACAGCTAATTTAAGTCTCCACCACATACCTCATTGTCACATTCAGCCAGAACCTGGTCATATTCACTCAGAGCAACCAAGAAAATAATGGAGGTAACACTCTCAAAGCAGTGTATCCATTTCCGTCTTTCAGATCGCTGGCCACCAACATCCACCATCCTGTTCAATAGAAACACAAATCTAAGACACTGGAATGCATGATGATGGGGAAAAGGAACATAAATTAATCATTGTTTACAAAAAAGAACCCTGAGATAAAATGAGAGAGTTCTGCTGCTGTAGGCCACAGGGATCCACCATTGGCTATTTCCAGGCAGAGGCTACATAAGTGGAGCCTGCTTGGGGTTGAAAGGAATCACCGAGTTCCACTAAGCTTTCTTCAACCCCTTCTTTATTACCTTTCATGGCTTTTCTTAATTCATCAAGAAATCCTTTCTTCTGTAGTTGATGCAACCTTTCATTCCTAGAAAAGCAAAGTGCTTTCTGTCCAACATGGATCTCCAAACCTTGCATCTATGGCTTTGGGAGAGATTTCAGAGAATTGTAGCCAGTGGATCATAAACTCACATGCTCCAAGGGTCAGACAATTCATGAAAAATAATCTACTGACCTGTGAAGTACGAAAGCAACTATTGGAGAGGGCCCAGCAGAGGACTGTCTCATACACCATGTAGCCAGACTCTGAGTAGATGTTCCAGCTTCTCAAGAAAAACTAGGTATCAAATGTTTTAAGCAAAAATCCTCCAACGTTTTTATTACAGTATTAGCTGAGGCAAAGCAAATACACCTGTAGGCTACATAATGTTGCTTGCAACTTAAATGTTTAGATGAACTCATGTGCACACAGGAGGACTTACAAAGATACACAATACAGAGAGGCTAGTCGAAGGGGCTCCACCACCCCAATGTGACAGTTTTCCGGAAGCACTGAGGTTTACACAGGACCTAGATATGGCAGTAACAGACTTGTGATATCTCAACTAGAGGATGTAAAAGTGCTTCAAAATTTGTAATGCTACGTGTACCATATTTATGTACGATAGTATTGATTTTGGGGACATAATAAATGCAATGAAGACCTACTTAAATCATCTTAAAAGAACTGGAAGTACAGAGTATATCCAGCACAATTTTTAATAAAGTCTGTATTTTTGGTTTTTACTTTTGTTTTTAAAGAAATGAGTAAAAGAAATATTACTGACATTTCTGGAAAAGACATAGTATGTTCAATTTCTGCTTACAGACTTACACAGCTCTGTCTTTCATATATAAGAACTATTCCAGATGTCAGTAAGGGGACTTTTCTATCGAGAATAGAGAAATGAGCTCTTTCCCTTCTAGCACTTGAGAACTGACACAATTCCAAATATCCTGTGAAGGAGCAGATACACTCCAAGAGACATAACATCTTTGGGGAGTGATATTATTTTAGAATCCATTCAGGGACTTCCAAACCTAGACAGATTCCTAATGGACCATGTCAGGAAGACACTCTTACCGAAAGATGATGTTTTCTAAGTCAAATGGGTACTCGATGATGCCAGTCGTGGGCACACGGACACGAAGCACGTCTTGCTGGGTTGGCACGAATGATGGCGTGGCAATTCGGTCAATGTCGGTGAGGTAACTATGATATAGAGAACAAGACTTGTTTTACAGAAGGGAGAAGTGTCAATCCTACTCCAGGGAGGTCACGCCTAACTCATGGTGGGACCCTGCTCAGACTCATGGATTCTATCCATGACTGCAAGCCAACTTGGGCCAGGCCCCCTCCAGTCCAACTATGACTGTTTTGGGAAGTATAAGTCTGAAGATCTTTGTATCTCTTCATCCTGAAAGCTATGCCTTATCACAATCGGTGAGCTCAATCCCAAAAGAAACAGGATGTTGGAATTGATTCGTTGACTTCCCATTTATCCTCCTTCCTTTAATGGCCATCCTCCCCACTCCATGACCCCTCGCCCAAGAATGTTATAGCATGTAAATGCTGGTCTGTAATAAATGAGTCTCTAGGAAAATATAAAGGTGTAAAAACAGACCTATAAGAAGTTCTTTCAAGATGATTTTCCTGTTAAGTGCTCAGAAATTAGACATCTCCTAAAATAGCCCAGAACTTGCCTTAGAATAATTTTGGCCATATATTAAAGCCCTGTGTTTAAAATAATCATTTTTTTCTACAATAAGATCATTTTTTTCAAATAAGATTCAAATAAGACAACTTAGTCAAGCCCTGGCCAACAGCAAGGCTGACCCTGCCTTCTCTGGAGCAAGCAGCCCTACCTAGGTCTGCTTAAGGCTGAGCAGGTCGCATGATAGGGAGTCAAGAGGTGGCAGACAAATGCTCTTCATCATGCAGCCCCTAATGCAGGAAGACAGCACCTGGGTCCCCCAGATCACGTGTGTGTGATTGATATCTAAAGCCTTGTTTTACCAGCAGAATGTTCCTTCACGGCAGAGAGTACAAACTGTAACTGCGGCCCTAACCGCTGTGCCTGTCTAAAGCAGAGCAATTACTAGCAGAATAGGTTAACAGCCACCAACCTTGACAAGGAAAAGTGCACATATTCCTGGTGCTACTGCCATAAGACTAGACAATTGCTGGGTTTGAGTACTATTTTCTGTCACCCTTCTAGCCAGTACCCTAGCCACTCCCCACATTCCTCTCAGGGGACTTGCCCCAGGCTTCAGGCCTTCCCTGAAAAGACCAGATCAGGCTACATCAAGAGCCCCATCAAACTGCCAAGTCCTTCACAGAAATGCCGACATCTGTCTAGATAAGGGCCAGAGATGCCTTGGCTAATTTAGATTCATCCCTGGCTCTCCAGCTGTCATTATCTGCCCTCTTCCTTGAAATACTTCTTTGCTTCCAGCTGTCTCCAGTGCTGATCCAGCACCTTCCCAGGGCTCCATTTATTTCTTCTGACTCATCGATAGAACCTAAACGTTCTTAGGAGTGAAACACCACCTACACCAGCCGCAGAGGCAATGACCAACTGAAGGGAAGGGGACAGGTCTAGGAAGGATTTGACTTTCAAAGGAGAAAGGATGACATGAGGCAAGGTGGAAGGCACAGAGCTGCAGAAACAAAACTCCTCACCTCTTCAAGAAGCACCATGATGAAATTAATTGCCTAAGGACCTGTCTGACAGAGGCAATATCAGAAGATTCTTAAGAAAATATGATTTTCTTAAAATGTCTATGTGGTAGTTTGCATGCACATACATCTATTTATTTTTCCCTTAAGAGAGTAATGATTTTTTGCTGTATAGATCCCAAGTACTGTATAGTTGGCCTTTGCTGGGTAGTCAAACAAGGTGTAGTGACCGGGCTCCTTTCCAGTGCTGGGCCTGCAGAGCCTACTTTGCTCCACTAGAGGGCAGCACCAGACCAGCCACTGCTAGGTGTAATTGCATTGATTTTTGGAGCAGTTGGATCTGCTGTGTTCTGATCACCAGCCCAAATAAGATCAGTACCACCAAGATAACCCTGCATTTGATTGAGCCCCTAGAAAGGAACTCTGAGCAAGGATATCTGGAGATGCACATGGTAAATGAGGGTTTTGGAGGTGATAAGAGATATACCAAGAGAAGGGTGAGGAGGATATAGGTGAGCAGGAGTAGTATTGACACTGAGTTGCCTGCCCTTTAGCAAACAGTGTACTTCTCTCCAGTGAGCTTTGGTGTGTATCCATACCCGTCTGAGAGTTCTGGGGCTCTGAACTCACTATTTGGCAGAGTCTGACAGCTGATATTCCCGCCTCCTGTCGTAACAGTCCTGGATTCCTGGGTCATTCCACAGCTGCTTGATGGCCTCCACCTGGTCCCTGGAGAGCGTGGTGACCTTGTCTACTTCCACTTCTCTGATTAGCTGGGCATTTTCCTACTCAGGGAAAGAAAATCATCCATTAGGTAAAAGAAAGGAAACCAGCCACATTGGTCACTTGGGGACAAGACCTGCCTTTGTGTTAGGGAAGATCTCCCCAGATGCAGATAGATGCCCTCTGGGGGTTCTGACTGCCACCCAGATGCAGCCCTGCTGATTGCTATGAAATAGCTGCACGGCCGTCAGAGATGCACCACAGAAAGTCCAAGAACCGGGGGTCTGTTGCAACCAGCTTTCAACATCATGGTGAATACAACTCTGGAAAGATCAATAATCATCCTACCAACAAACCTGACTTCCTAATTAACGTACTTTTAAAGAAACTCAAGGCCAATGGGACAATTTTTAAGCAATAGTTGCTACTGGTGGTACACCAAGGATGAGGTAGTCAAAGCCAGACCAGCCCAGTGTAGGCAAAAAGGGAGTGTTCTGTCTTCACATAACTGAAATACATAATTAACTGCCAGTCTTGTCTTTTATTGAAAAAATACGTATTTTTTTAGTTTTTGGTTTACAGCAAAACTGAGTGGTGAATTCTCTATACCACTGATAAAACTCTTTCCTACTGAGAAAACCACACCCATCACATCCCCTCGTGCCACACTGATTGGCATATTACTCTGTATGTTATTACCATTATTATAAGCACTATTGCTCTACTACTGTTGCTGTATTATTAAGTGATTTTAAAGATTATTGCTGTAATTATTACAATTATAATGGTTACCATTTGCGGCTCACTTACTATGCACCGAGGGCTCTTACATTATCTCATTTAGTCAGCAGAAGGCTAGCACAAGGCCAACAATGTTTCCAAACACTAGAAAATGAAAACGACAAGGTTGGCCTGCACCCACAACATGTGCACGTACTGGCCCCAGAGAACCAGCATCCCCTTCTTGGCTGCAAGTTACAGCAAGAGAATCCTGCCGAGCGAGACGGGAGCCAGCGGTCTCCTGCACTCTGCCCATCTTGCGCGGCAATTACATCACACAGAGCTGGCTGCCCACCCGCAGCTGTGAGTCAGCACTGCATCCATTTGGCAGCTGTAGTCGCCTTGGATTTGTATGGTACCCCCCCTGAGGAGTCAACTTACACTGTTCATTCTCATAATCGGCCAACAGGAAGTAAGTGACAAAGGGAGAGATATTGACTGCGGGCAAAACCAAGGGCTGTGATGAAATCAGCATGACTTTGCCCACATCCATCCAGAGTAGAGAGAAGTTCCCACTCTAAACTCCGGAGCCTCAGGCGGGTAGTCTCAAACAAGATCAAGCGGGAAGTGCCTGGGGTAAAAAGTCAGGACTCCCAAGTTCTCAAGTAAGTACACTTGAGACATTTAAGGAACCCCACAAGTTACTTGCCTTGGCATCTTAATTTATAAAAGGAGACAGTGATTTTTCAGGAGAACCTGACAAAGTGTCACCCCGGTGTAAGTAGTAGTCATGTTATCATTGTACCAAGTGCCTAATGTCAGTTTGCAAAAATAAGACACACTGACAGCCCTCAAACTATAACATGGAAAGCTCATCCACAGGCACATTTTGTATCCTCTGCCCTCTTTTTAGGCTAAAGAATAGTGAATGGAGAACCTGAGGATTGTATGTATGGAGCAGAAAGTCTTCCCCTTCTTTGACATCCTTCCGCCTCTCAGAACTAGGTGGTCTCTCTTCATCCTTTAAATTTAAAACATCTGTTTCCAGGTCAAGTCAGGAAATGCCAGTAAGATGAACCTAAAGTCTTACTTGTCTTGATAACCCAGAAACTACTTAATACCCCAGAGTCGGCTGGGACAACTGACTGCCAGGACCCACCCAGTCCCACCCACCCCATATACTGAGAAGGCCGATGAGAGACAGACATGCAGGGCTAGAGGTTAGGAACTACTGCATCAAAAGACTGCCCCACTATCAACTGCCCAGCTCACCCCACTCTACCTTGTGGGGGAAGTGATAAATGCTTTCTTCACTCTGTTTGCTTCCTGCAGCTTTGCAATCACCTGTAAGGAATCTTGTTCTTGGTATGGATTGTGGTTGTGGTTATACCAGACAATGAGGTTTACCACAATCCACAGCATTGACAAGATCTTAATTCAAGAGCAGGATGATTCCAAATTTTATTTGTAAATTTCGTTGTTGGTAACTCAGTGTTTCCTGGTAAGAAAAGAGACTTCCATGGGTCCATTAAATTATTTCTCATGTTCCTGCTGGACTCACAGTGATACTGTATTTCCCAGCCTCCTTTGTGTCAGATAGGACCGTAAGACTGAGTTCTGAGCAATGGAAACTGAACTGAAAAGATGCAGGTTACTACCAGGCCTGGCCTTCATACACGCCACATTCAATCCTCCTCCACTTTTTCTTTTCCCATTTCTCAAATGCAAGGAGAGGACCATGAAGACCAAGAGGAGGGGAGTCTCAGAGTAAAGGGAACGTGGAACCCTGAAAGGCTGTGTGGTGCTGAGTCCACCACCAATACTGCCGAACTCACACAAAATTAAGATGGATGTGACAAACACTTATTTTCTAAGCCACAGTTCATTTATTATAGTGGCTATTAAAACTTTCATACATCCACAGAGAAAGAGAAGCAATGCAAAGGAGGACCTGGACTATTTCAAAGAAACCCATGTACTCAAGGCACCAGGCCACACCTCGGGACAAGGGGCAAGGTGGCTCACGTACTGTTGTTTACGGGGCCACTTAGCTCTTGGTCTTCTGGTTTCTCTTATCCCCAGTCTGACTAGATTCTCAGACTAGTTTGGGCCTAGTCTGAGACAGCACTGCTTCCTACACATACACTTGTCAAGGCTGAGCACCAAATCTCATCCCCTGCTCTCCAATAATACAGAAGGCAGTCAGCCCTGGGGAGCATGTCTCTGAGCATTTCTTAATGGTTTAATTCTTTTATTCATATCCAAGTTCAAACATATGATTACCACAGGCAAATTTAACTATTATAAAACTTCAGTGACTTAGCAACACACACAGGTTTATCTTGTACTCCTATTCCTCCCATCATGTGAGGGGAATTGCTCAGTACAGTTACCAGAAACCCAGACTCCCTCCAAGTGATTTCCATCAGCTTTCAGGACCCTGAAGTTTGTGCTAGACTAGTTGCACCCAGTTCACAAGTGAGGAAGAGAATTTGAAGCAGTGGGAAGTTTGATGGGCCAAGTGGGAACCTGGAGATCTTCGCTAGGAGACATGCAGCTCAATGGCCTGAATTAGTAATAAGGACCACTTGACTACCAAAGACGCTAGGAAACATCACCCTTCGTGCTCAGGTCGAGGGGTTTGGGCAACACACAGATGCCCTCCGCTGCCCACATCTGTGGGCAGTCTCCGCCCCCCACGATTTCTAATGGCTGTATGGCACCGGCATGTGCTGCTGCTAGTCAGGGTTAACTCCAGCTGGTGGGCCAAATCCCGCTCATTGCTTGTCTCTGTAAATAAACTGTATTTGAGCACAGTCAAACCCTGCCACACTGGCTAGCTGATCTCACTCACTACAACAGCTTCCTTGAGTGTTTACAACATAACCAGAATGCTTCCCCAATCCAAAAATATTTACTCTCTGATTCTTTACAGGAAAATGTTTGCTGAGCTCCTGGGTGTGGATAATAATTTCTAGTTAAATGTGTTCAAGTAACTTGCTGTCTGCTGCTGTAATTTTAACCTCCTCATCGCTCAGTCAGTGGGCATATAATTATGAGGACCCACTCTTTCCAAACACTGTTGTGGGACAAGAGTTTTATGGCTGTGAGGAAGAAAAAAAAAAGAGCCTTGGGCTTTATGTTCAGACCTCCCTGCTTACAGGAATGATGGTAACAGGCATAGAGAGCTTAGAAAAAGAATACTCTAGAAAATCATACTCGATAAATGTATGCATGCGTTAATTATAAGGCCCTATAAATAGTCACATAAGTAAATTTCCCTAACTCTTTAAGGGGCAATAGAGCGGATCTGGCATGAGACTGGAAGCAAATGGCAAAATTGAACAAAAGCGCCGCCCAGTGGAAGAATGTGGAATCGCTCTCGATTTCAGGCTCATTTTCACATTTACAAAGATTTTTAAAATTATTTATACATGCAGAACTGGGGTACAGGCCAGAGGTTCAGGGGAAGTGAGAGGCTTCACCGGAGACTGAGTGGGGAGCAGAACAAGGAGATCAACGAAGTACACTGCTGAAGGGCGCAGTGGGCTGGTCATGAGAGGTCTGTCACACCACGTGGGTCACCTCAGTGGGCCAAGGATTGAACTCGCACTGAAGCAAAGTTGCCCTGAAGCAGCTGCGGCTGGCTTGCAGTGCTGCACTCTAACCCATTGTGCCACCACAGAGGGTCCTAGAAAATATTTTTATCCCTTCTTTCCGTTACTTCCTTAAGCAGACCATTTTATTATGTTCTAGTCTCCTGAGGTATAATTTTACACTTTATATAAAGTCTATGCTGTGTCAACCAACTTGGGGTCAATGAACAGACATTTCCAGAGACCCGGAAATCCAAGACAAGCAGGCTGGCCCTGGAGTCAGTGCACCATCCACCATATTCTTTTTGGGGTATTGTTGATTAAAGAGAAGTCAACTATGTGGTCCTTTAAGACAATTCAAGTTCTTCCCACCCATCTGCTCCCAACTCCTGTAAAACAGGTTTTCTCTTCAAACAAATACAAGGGGAGGAAATGCTAGTATCAAGAATTAGTTCAGTCACGCCAGGTAGGCAGGCACATACAAGGCTGAGCTGAAGGACAAACATTAAGAAATAAATTTCTTCCACTGTCTCAGACCCAGAGCCTTATATGGTTGCCTCCCTCAAGACTATGGTGGGCGTGGGCATAATTATAGAAATCTCGACTCTGAGCTTCACAGTAATTCAGACACTGCTTCCCTTTTCCCTGCCCAGACATGAACATGAGAAACAGCTGAGGAGACAGAAAATCAACAGGATTAAGTGGTTTTGGTGCTGGGACAGGGGCAAGAACATTTGTTGTTCTGT